TGAAGAAAATGTTTTTTTGATTTTCCCAAACCAAAACGAAATGCATGCATTTCTACAACCTCCACAAAATGCACAATGATCCATGTCTAACATTGAATAGAAAGGTAATACCAATAACAGATAAATATAAGTTTATGTGCATTATATTTGATAAGAAATTGTCATTCACCTCCCATATAAATTAATTATGACAAAAATGTAACGAGGCTATCAATCTACTCAAAGTTACAGCCTATACTGATTGGGGAGCTGATAAGAAATCACTTCTAAAAATTTACAGAGAAATTGTCAGGTAATAACTTGACTATGGTTATTTCTTGAGACATTCATACCTCAAAAACAATTTATCATCAAGAGCTGAAATATTTATACTGTTTAATGAATAAATAAAAACGGAGTATCTACTCAAATATGGGTATCTATTAAAAATAATGTTTAAGCAATAAATTAAACTCTTTCGGATTAATAAATGAAAAATTAATTCCTGAAAATACACCCCTGGTCAAAATCTTAAGACCAGATACAAAATAGTTAAATATATATATATATATATAGATAGATAGATAGATAGATAGATAGATGTAAAATACTGTTACTTTAATCAAATTATATTTGCGAAACATTTACATTTAATTAGAAAATGTAGCTTATCAACAAACAAGGGAGCATCTTAAGCTTTTAATTGATTAATTTAAACAAACATTGAAAAAAGGAATTTTGTGGGGGTTGGTCATAAAGATAAGATTATCTAAATAAAAATAGCAAATACAGAACAAATAAATCACAACGGAAATTTAATTCTCAGTCTACACTCCATTTTAGCGAAGTACTTCGAAAATTCGCTTTGGCATACTCATAATTTACTTCTGCATTAGGGTGCTTGGGATGCTCGCTCAGGATGGATAAACTGCTGCAAGAAGAGCATCCACAGTTTCAAATTACGATCCATATTTGTAAACATCCCTTTACCATCCATCCCCAAACATTCTCGATTGGGTTTCGATCTGGAGAGTGTCGTGGATTGCAGCATTGCCCTGCTGTAAAATCCACTTTTCTCCACATAAATGATGGACTTCAGTAATTAGCGATGCTTTTCTTAACATGTCAATGTAACTAGAAGCTGTTTGACGACATTTTACCTCCTGTAACACGTTACATTGTACGAAAATGAAACCCAGACTATAATTGATCCACCTCCACTGTTTCGTATTTAAAAAATTCTTTTGGGACATATTTTGCATACCAGTAACGCTGAAAACCATCTGGGCCATCAAGATTGAATTTTTTCTCGTCTGAAAACAACATTTTCTTCCATTTATCCACATCCCAAGTTTGATAATCGGAAGCAAATTGTAAACGGGAAGTTTATGGAGAAGACGAAGTCGAGGCCTCTGCAGCCGTTTCAAGTTCTTAAACCCTTTCTTATTTAAATGCTGTTGAATTGTTCGAGAGCTGCGCTCTGCATCAGTATTCGCTTTTATATGATTTGATGTTAAGCTCGAATCTCTCTTACCTTCTCGCTTAATTTGTCTGTCTAGAGATGGTGAGATTGTATTGGAGCGACCGCTTGATTTTTTAGAAGCATACGAATCCGGAGTTAGCAATGAGAGTTTTGCTACGGCCAATTTCATTTGCAATGGCTCGTTGCGAAAGACCACGTCTTTGAAGTTCAATAACCCTACTCTGTTCGAACTTTCTTAAGGTTTTACCCCTAGCCATTTTAAAATCTGAAATTTAATATTGGAAATGGGGTACGTAGATGTCTACACGCCTGAAGCTATGAGCACACTGAATAGTTCTAAAAATTTTGTCCAGTAATGTGCTTTTTTTAACACATGGACTTATCTTTATGACCAACCCAAAAAAATTCTTTTTTCAATGTTTGTTTAAGTTAATCAATTAAAAGCTTAAATTTTTCTCTTGTTTGTTTTCTTAATTAAATGCAAATATTTCTCAAATATATTTTGATTAATGTAGCAGTATTTTATATATATATATATATATATATATATATATATATATATATAAGGCTCAAACACTAATATTCTATGGTTATAATTTATTACATTGTAATCATAATCACCATCAATTCATCAGACCTACATGATAACGATTCCAATATAATAAATTATAACCATGGAATGTATTCTTCCTCTGCCCTGGTCATTGAGCTCTACCTAGATTCTATCCTCTTGTATATATATATATATATATATATATATATATATATATATATATATATATATATATATTGACAACTAATATTATCTATCTATCTATCTATCTATCTATAAATATATATATATATTCTATCCTCTTGTATATATATATATATATATATATATATATATATATATATTGACAACTAATATTATCTATCTATCTATCTATCTATCTATAAATATATATATATATATATATATATATATATATATATATATATAGTTGTATTGATATGGGCTTGTTACCCTGGGTTTCACGCAATTTGTTTGTTGATCGCAAAATTGAAACCCAGTGTCACAAACTCATATCCATACAACTAAATATGTTAACTCTATCACTGATATGGAGCACTTTCCAATAAGTACCGCACATATATAATATATATAGAAAATACGCATGCACACACAGACACACACACACACACACACACACATATATATATATATATATATATATATGTATGTGTGTGGTAGGATCCACCTAATTTGCATAGTGGAGTACCGACCATATAAATATGGTTGGTACCGGGAAGAGAGGGAGGAATCAAGAGATTCAACCAGAGACTCTGCCCGACTGCGACTCAGTCAACACATTCTCCAGGAACGGTCTTACCAGGAATATACAAAAGACTATATGTAAATATTGTGTACACTTTCTTCTTTCAATACATTTTGTTCTAAGTACATTTTGTGTTGCATTATTATTCCATGCATTAGTCAAGTTTCAACATATATATATATATATATATGAAATGAAATGAAAACCTTTAATTACTTATTTATTTCATTTTGATAGGAAATCAAGCAGAAAAAAAGAGTAAATGAACATGACCGGTCAGTGACACCCAATGTAGTCGAGTACATCACATCAAACTTTTGTTTACTTTACGAAAGTAGCCACAGGTTTCTATCCTGCCAAAAAACAGATTAATGGTCCCCTATTCTATAGATGTTACCATCGATATATGCAGGCAAGATTTCATGTGAACGAACTGTTTATAGTCGTTCTTGGTAAATCATTTTTACAGAACGCTAGCAAGAAATCCCATATTATCAACTTGACCATGGAGTTAAAAGTTGATCAAGTCCAAAAGAAAGCATTTAAACTTCACATTTTCAGAACAAATAACTTTTCTTTCTTTTCCTCTGACATGAAATGAACTTGTGCACTCTAAGTGCCACATGGTATTTAAGAAAAGCAAACAGACTTGCTTTCACAAAAGGTCACAGCTCAACTTCAAGTGAATGCCTACAATTCCCGAGGAAACGTTATTATGCTAGAAATATGAATTTTGACAAGAAACTTTTCTTATGCCTGAATATACAATAAAACAATGATTGTTTAACTTCACAACTGTAAGATTTAAACATCTTTCATATCACTACTATAAAAATTTGTGCATTCTCATCAAGTCAATTTAGCTGATGTTCAAATTATATAAAAGGTAAGTCATATACTTTAAATAATTTTTGTAATATTTGCAATTAAATGTTTTGAAAGAAAACTAATATTAATCCGTTGTAAACACACATTTGTGTAGGTAATATTACTCTCTGTGTGTAACTATTAATAACATTAATTGAACATTACTAATAACATTAAATAAACATTATTAATAGCATTAATTGAATATTATTGATAACATTAATTGAACATTATAGTCATTATTATAGACGAAAATCCAGCTAATGACGACGTTTTACACTGAAGAAATACTTACTCTAAAAGCTTTGCAGATTCAGGAAAATATAAATAAATTATCGGTAACGTATTTGCCTGGAGAATGAATATCTATGTATCTAATTCTGCACATATATTTCTATCTATCAATCTATCTATCTATCTCATTCTACACATTACCTAACTATCCTTCCATATATATATATATATCATTCTACATATATACATCAATCTCCATCATTTCATTCAATTGGCACTCATTTAAACACACACGAAAACCTACCAAACTCCATCCTCAACATACGCGTAGAAAATTCAAATATAATAGTCTTATCCATATGTAAAAAGGCTACTACACATAAAGGTAACATCAATAATGATAAAACAAAAAAGACATCAACTATGAACATGGCCACAATATGTTTACAGCGTTTGGAAAATAATTATAAAAAACATTCTCATCACTCCAGATACATATTGGAAATTTTGCACATTAAATTAAAAAATCAAAATAAAAAAAGCAACCTTGACAATGTCTAACAGAATAGCCGGAAGTGCTCGGATATATAGAATATTCGGACAGCTTTCGACTCAATTTCGCATTTCTCTCTTCCTTAGATTATCTTTAAAAAAATATCTCTGGTATATCAAAAACGTTGGGGAAGATGAGAAGAGATGAGTGTACCCTTGAGTCGAACAGTCTCTCATAATTTGCTACTCACATTGACAACATTAAAAATGTTCTTACCGTTATTTTGCTAACAGAGCATAATCCTTCTCGATTACCTCAACAATATAACCTGAGAATTTCAAGTTGATTTGATTGATTTTCTACGGTTTATCAACCCTTTTCACGTTATTTAGAACCAGAAAATATTTTGAGATTGTAAGATATGTAGGGGCCATAATAATGGTTTTAGTGATACAGGACATATTATTTCACCCAGAGCTAAGGGTGGGGAGAAGAGTTGGATTCATACTCTTAACCAAGGATATTTGTGCGTAAGTGAATATAACGTACCCGACTGGAATTGAAACCCCGCTCTCCAATTAACAATTTATCGTCATTATGCAATACGTCACCCGCCCTTTTAAGTTTACAGCACCTGGTATTCCGAAGCGATCACCCATCTAGGTACTGAACAGGCTTGACGTTGCTTAACCTTTGTGATTGTACGGGAACCGCTGATTCAAAATGATATCGCCATAACCCTGAGTGCTTTCAAGAACAGCAACAACTAAAATGGAGATCGCCTGTAACTCGAAGAGAAAATAATGACATAATCAAAACGTTAACGTTCTACTTCAAACGAAATTACAAAAGTAAGGAAGCCCCCATCAGTACTTGAAAGAACTATAACAGCTGTTGGATTTAAGAATCCTCATGTCCTTAACAGTTTTTTTAAGGGAAAGATTTTACACATTTCAACCGACAGCACTCGGTCAATGAATGCCGAAAGTTTCCATGTTAATGTCTGCCATTATCACATGCCACCATGTACTTCTAAAATATGAATTACCTTATCGAATATAATAGTGGTATCTATTCCAAACGGTAAACAAACAGAATCATGATTACTTTTCTCCCCGTCTCAGATAAAACTAAATACTTCCGTTTCTTTAGGTGTACGCGCGCAAACAGTGACACGGGAAGAAAAAGAGACGGGCGTATGCATGCATATTTAATTACCATTCTGTTCACTGTCACACGGTCTACAGCAGTAAGCTGAACCAGGTACATGAAGTTCAAGATGATGCGACTTATAAAAACATTCGACATTTATTGACTGAGCAGCTGCTGTCATTGTCGGTTGAAAATTATAAAATCTTTCTATTAAAACAATTTTTCAAAAAAATAAGTTTCTTAAGTTTGGTACCTGTTATTCCTCCCTAACCTTTAAAAAAAAATATGTCAGCATCTTGATTAGTGTTAGAAAAGAAACGGCCTAACAAAAGAATGATTTTCCCTTGACACCACTATTATTTCAGCTACCTTCACTCCTCGGCAATGTTTATTGTTTTAAAAGGCGATGATTAGAATTATGATAAAACTCAAAAATATGATGACAGTGATTTTATACATTTTTTGTTCTTGAGAATTTACAACAATCTATTAAACACTATTTATTTATTAGACTGTTTAGTTACAAGAATAATGTTATATTTCGAACATTCTAAAAACTAAGAGAAACTAATGCAATGTAATATCTATTATTTACCAATTCATAACGAAATAAATATGAAAACTCTTGCTATATTCTTAAATTTATAAACATTGACTAAATTAATAAAATATGCGAATCAACCGGAAGGAAATCCTTATTAATTACTATTTTATAATGGTCGAATCAATTGACAATAAACCAATGTTTTACTAACCATTCCAATCTATTATCTATATTTCTCATGTTGTCTGTCTGTGTGTCTGTCGCGGGCGTTGTTACCTCGCCCAGGCCGCATTTCTCACCCGATTTCGATGCGGTTTTCAACACAAGTTTGCAAATGGCTGCCGTAAGGACATGACGGAGCCCGATTTTTGAGTTCGGAATCAGGTTCCGAAAAAATCGATAATCGAAAAAATCGATAATCGAAAAAATCGATAATCGAAAAAATCGATAATCGAAAAAATTCTGCTTACAGAAGGAATGATCGCATTTCAACCAAATTTGACACCCTCTTGGAGTCTACCATTAGAAGTGTTGTCCAGAAGTTTCATGACCACGGACCCCTAAACAGCGCGGAAAATCGATAAAACCCAAAAACCGATACGCCCAGATTGCGTCTGAACCGCATGTCGGTTTTTAGCGAAAACCGAGCGGATTTATGAAGAGGCCATTGGGAGTCATCATGTGAAGTTTCAACTCTGAGCACCCCCCCCCACCAACAGAGTGCAAATCGACAATCGGTCAACCTTTAAAAATGTTTTTCCGGTTTTTTAAAGCTGATCGTATTGTGTTTATTTTGTTTAGTTCTTTTTTCGTAACAGATTTAATGTTTACTATAGAACTTAGAAAATGTTGGCAGTGTGATATAGGCAAGAAGTAAGGCATGTAACAACATCAGCACGGCAAAGGGCACTCCTTTAAAGGCAAGGAAGGGCAAAAATATTTTAAGTCAAGTGATAGCGATTGCTGTATTAGTCGTACTATTTTTGAATCAAGCACGGGCAACGCCAGGCCATGCTGCTAGTAAACAATATAATAAATAAATATTGTAAAACAGGTGCATCTGCGGTTACTTCTGAAAGAGAGACCTCTTAGTTAAGAGGTTCAGATCATTACCACAAAGATTCGAATTAATTGGCAATAAACAGTATAATAAATAAATAGTGCGAATAGACAGTCTAATAAATAGTGTGTTCTATTTATAGTTTAGAATAAACGAAGTTCACAGAGGAGAACAGGTTTTCAACCCAGCTGTACTTGGGATGTGCATATGTGGGAATGAGAGTGGGATATATAAGCATCTGCCTGAGATGGAAAGGAAGATAGGCTCTTGATTCTCCGCGAGAATGTAGAATCCACATTTCGAGAAAATACGCAAGTCACACACCTCTTCGCCAACAATAATTAACGGCAGCTGAATAGAAAATAGTATTACGTGAGAGAGATTTAAGTTCGTGTTTTCAATAGATTTGAAGACAATATTTATGGTTAAAAATGTTAAATATACCCAGTGAGACCATGTGCATTTGTCTTACGCCCCTTTATATATATATATATATATATATATATAGTGACTTTATTGCCACCCTGGCAGTAAAGTCACTATACAACATTGAGCATGGAAGCAGGTGACTTGCAGTTCGGACAGTATCAGTAATTAATTCACTATTGTTTACCATAACATTTTATTGTTATTAACCAAATAAATGTTAATAATAATTTTCTGCACTGATGATTAATTGCTTTACCGTCATTGTTATTGTAACTTGCTGTATAGTAATTTATTGACACTCTGTGTGTGTGTGTATATATATATATATATATATATATATATATAAAACGTCATCCACAGACAGACTGTTTCACAGCTCATCAGTGTGGCTAGACATCCGGTTGCCTCTAGCTAGGATCGAAACCCGACTGAATTGGTGTCAGTCGGGGATTCTAACCATTAAGCACGGCAGGGATGTAACTGGATTTTTAGCGTATTTTTTATTTTTAGAAACACGCCCAGTGACCGACAGTGACTCAATTCGCATCTGCAAAGTCTCTCGCTATATAGCTATAATAGTCACTGTTTACCAACCCACACCTCGTCCCCAGAGAGCTCAACTGAAATTGATATTTCAGGAGCCAATATATATATATATATATATATATATATATATATATATATATATATATATATATATATATATATATGTATTTAAAATGTTTATTTATATATATATATATATATATATATAGTGTCTGTGTAAGTGTCTATTAAATACGTTTGTATGTGCATTAAATTTAAGTTTAAGAACAAATAGAAATAATCTTTCTGTACGAATATTATACGGTGCCAAATTTTCAAGCCTATAAGTTTTGCTTTCTCCTCTGCAGAAACAGCAATTTGGACTTAGATTTTGTTTAGATCTACACAGCGAATGCTGACGCAATAGGAGACACGCAACTACCTTAACCACCAAGTAGTACGTATATGCATACAAAATCGATAGAATAAAGCCACAGATAAAACATTCAAAACAGCTAATACTGATAAGGAATGAATTCACAAAAACTCAGAAAGTCGATAAAACAATGTCGATAAATTGTTAATGACGGACAGACTTTGTATACGTTTTTTTTTAACAATGACCTTTTCAAGACTTTCTTTAATGTTAACATATACTATCAATTCCTGCTACTGTGAGAACACAGGAAAGTGTAATAAAATAGCTAAAATAAAAGGAATGGATAAGCTATCAAAAACAATAAAAATAAGGAAATGTTAACCAGGGAATATAAGGTGGAGTTTTTAATGATATTAAAGGAATTTGAAGAGAATATGAAAATGAAAGAGACAAAAGAATAAATCTATGAATAACCGAAATTATAATGAATATTACAACTGGCGCCTTAAAATATAGGAAACGATTGTAGACATTTTGCTTGGGATAAATTATTTCTCGGAATCTAAAAGGAAGGTGTTGCGGTATGCTTTATTTTTATTTACAATTATTTTTGACATCAAGCTCAGAAGCGTGTGAAAGACTATGAGTAAACATTAAAATGTTATTAATTAGTGCAAGTGAGGAGAATTAACTTTATAAAGTAATGTATATTTTAACGCCCCCTAAAAGGAAACTTCTATTCTTTAATCTTCATAGAGAACAATTTTTGCTCTCCATTAGCATGGCTGATGCTAACCACCAGGATAGTAACTCGCTGTGTCTTCTTGGTCTCACATTTCCTACTGCAGAGATTATATTGAATCAACTGCTGGGTTTGATGCTAATAACTTTGGTCAACTATGTTGTACCAGAGAATTTTTCACATCAGAACCTCTTTGGCACTTTTATATATCTACCATTCGTCAGTGCATTGAAAATTACTGGCATATCTGACTTGGAACTCCCGCAATATATCCCGATATTCTCGACAAAATCCAAAGAAAGTTCTGCAATATTATCGATCCTGACCTAACATCTCAGTCACTTTCCTCACAGCCGTGACGTGGCTTCTCTCTGTCATTTCTATAAATATTTTAATGGCGGTTGTTCGAAAGAGCTCTCCTCTTTGGTATCTCGATCGCATGAATTTAAACGCACTACTTGATTGGCAATAAGGTCCCATCATTTTACTGTTGACGTTTAAGTTCTATTCTGTTCCTTTTCTCGCATTTTTCGGCTCTGGAACTCACTTCTGGTCTCTTGCTTCCCTGTCACATACAATCTTCAAAAAAGTAAATACAAAGACAATCGCCATCTTCTTTCTTCCTGAACCCTGTTCTTTTTATTTACCTCTCTCTTCGGTAAGGTATTCTCATTGTTTTCCAATTCCAGTCACACTTTGCGCCTTAGTGGTATTAACGTCTTGGTTCGAGCGAAAAGTTTATAAAAAGAACATTATTAAGTAGACATTATAATGTTTCACTAATGATGTAAGTAAACAATATAATGTTCTGCGACTAATTTGAGTATGTATACTAATGCTCATAGAATAATGTTAGTAAATATTATCATGCACGAAAAATGATGTGAGTAAATATTTTGATCTTCT